AAAATTAGGTCCTAGATCCACATTCGGGCAGGCAAGGGATCAAATTAACCAAAAAGTGCAGCTCTTTGGGGCAAAATCAGCCTTATGGAAAAAGAAAAGGGGATCGAGCTGAAGCCTTTGGGTAAGTGAGAACCTGGAAAAGCAGAAAACCATCCAACATCTATGCCTGAGGGATGGAGCTTGTTTGGGTTGGTGCCTTGCACCAGTTGCAGGTGTGGTATCAGAAGGAGAACCTGCTGGGGTTTGGCTTTGCCAGGTCTCAGAGATGGGGAATGACACTGGAGAGGCTGTTTTCCCCATCAGTTGCCTTCCTGCAGAATCTCAAAGAGCCATGAGGAGCTGCTGATACCTTCCACGCCTTGCCGTGCCAAGACTAACGTCATGTTCCTCAAGACCCACAAGACGGCCAGCAGCACTGTCCTGAATATCATGTTCAGGTTTGCAGAGAGATGCAACCTCACCGTCGCCCTCCCAGCTGGCCAGCTTGTCCACCTGGGCTACCCGAAGACCTTCCTGGCCAGCTTTGTGGAAGAATTTCAAGCCATAGGGCAAAACTACAACATCATGTGCAACCACCTGCGGTTTAACCCCTCAGAGGTAAGAGCCACGACACCTGCGGAGAGACCTGGTTGAACAAGCAGTGCCTCCAGACTAAAACAGCCTCTCTTCTTCCTCCCTGCAAATAGGTGCGAAAGGTGATGGCAGCAAATGCTTTCTACTTCTCCATCCTGAGGAACCCCATTCCTCTGCTGGAGTCTTCCTACGTCTACTACAAGGACAGTGTCCCTGCCTTCAGGATCTCCAAGGACGTGAACGAGTACCTGGCATCACCCATGAAGTATTACCATCCAGAGGATTACAAGCAAAACATCTATGCCAGGAATATCATGTGGTTTGACTTTGGCTACAATAACAACGCAGAGGACAACAAAAAGTACATCCAGGCGGTTTTGAAGGAGATTGAACAGAACTTTCACCTGATCTTGATAGCAGACTACTTTGATGAGTCCATGATCCTCTTGAAGCACACTTTGTGCTGGGATCTGGATGACGTGATTTACTTTAAGCTCAATTCCAGAAGCCAGGACACTGTCCAGACCTTGACTCTAAAAAGCAAGGAGCGGATAAAAGCATGGTGCTCACTAGACTGGAAGCTCTACCTGCACTTCAACCAGAGCTTCTGGAGGAGAATTGAGGAGACCATAGGATTTGAGAAGCTGGAGAAGGAGGTGAATCACCTGCGAACAAGACAGAAGGAGCTTATGGAGACCTGTCTCTCGGACCAGGAGGCAGTGGGGAAGGATCACATCAAGAACAAAGCTCTCCTGCCTTTCCAGTCAGGGGCTACAGATATCCTTGGGTACAACCTCAAACAAGACTTAGACAACAGGACTCTCAGAATCTGCCAGAAAATGGTTATGCCAGAGCTCCAGTACACATCCTATCTTTACGCTGTTCAACACCCACACAAGAAGAGGAAACAGTTAGGCTTGCCCTTGCTGTGGACCAGTTTCCAGGAGAAGATGCAGCTCCCAACTCCCAACTAGGGCACGCAACAACCGACTGCAGTTTCCCACCGCTTTGCATCACCCCATGTCTGGCACATGACTGGCGCACAGGACTCTTAAGCTCTCCTGCCTTTCCAGTCAGGGGCTACAGATATCCTTGGGTACAACCTCAAACAAGACTTAGACAACAGGACTCTCAGAATCTGCCAGAAAATGGTTATGCCAGAGCTCCAGTACACATCCTATCTTTACGCTGTTCAACACCCACACAAGAAGAGGAAACAGTTAGGCTTGCCCTTGCTGTGGACCAGTTTCCAGGAGAAGATGCAGCTCCCAACTCCCAACTCCCAACTAGGGCAACCGACTG